CTGGGGGAGGGGCAGATGTGGGGGGATTGGTGGAGGGATTGGTGGAGGGGCAGATGGGGGGCTGGGGGAGGGGCAGCTGTGGGGGGGTTGTGGAGGGGCAGCTGTGGGGGTATTGGGGGGGGGGTGTGACTCTCCCAGGGGGCTCCTGGCTCTCAGCAAACAGCAGAAGTCGGTGCCAGGAAGGGGAAGCGCCCGGTGGGTGCTGCAGACGGGGGCTGTCGCCGAGCTCAGGAAAGCCGGATTTACCCTGGGCAGGGTCATTTATTTCACAAAGGGGTTCCTAAACTATTGGACCCTTTTAAAAGTGCTGTCGTAGAAGTAGTCAAACGGCTGAGTTTGCCGGCAGCAAAGGGATCAGGAGGGGAGAGGGGGTGTGGGAAGCACCAGGAGACTCTGAAACCATTCTGTGAAGAGGATCAAAGTTCTGTCTGTCTGGTTTGCCGTCTGTCTCCGGCTCACAGAACTCACCCGTGGTTCCCATAGAGGAGGCTGCCCAGAAGTGTACGAGGTGGGGCGCGGTGTAAGTCTGGATTTTAAATACGGTGTCATTTCACCTGCCACAGCGGTAACTGCATCATTCAGCCTTCGTTATACGGGAGAGGCGATAAAAGTAAATGATCTGGCAGTGTGGTGAGCAAGACAAAAAATGAAGAAGTGGGGGTTTTTTTTACCCACGAAAGCTGATGCCCAAATAAATCTGTTCGTCCTTAAGGTGCCACCGGACTCCTTGTTGTTTTTGTGGATACAGACTAACATGGCTACCCCCTGATACTTATCTGAGGAGCTGAATCCTTTTCAAAACCAGCTCTCGCTGGTGAAATACGGGCACTGGTTACAGCACAGAAGCTGTTAAAGGATCAGTGAGGTTTACGTCACGAGAGCTGCGAGCCACACGATGTGGGAGCGTTGCCTTCAGACTGGAGAAGGGGGAGTTACAAGGGTGTTATTTACACAGTACATGAAAAGATGGGAGTTGCCCTCCACTCGGTGAGGCAATTCCCATCTTTTCATGTACTGTGTGTATACACCTGCTCCTGTATTTTCCACTCCATGCATCCGATGACGTGGGTTCTAGCCCACAAAATCTTATGCCCAAATACATTTGTTAGTCTCTAGGGTGCCACAAGGACTCCTCGTTGTTTTTGCTGATACAGACTAATACGACTACCCCTCTGAAACGCTGTTATTGTTACTGATTTGTATCACAGTATTTATTATTATTTCCATCTCAGCAGCCACTTCAGACCCCAGATGATCTCTGACCTCAAAAGTGAGGGACAGATATCACAGGTGATGGCCTAATGGAGGGGGGGGAGGAGAAAGCAGTGATTTTTCCAAAGTCACCCAGCAGGTCAGGGGAAGAGCCAGGCCTAGAACCCAGGTCTGTTCTCAGCCTGGGGCACTGGCCACTAGGCCATGCCGCTACCCCAGCAGTGATGAAGCGTGGGAGGAAAAGACTCCTTGATAAAGGTCCCAGGCACAAATACCACTAGGCTGCAACAAAACTAGCCTCTGGTCGGTGCTGACCTGTGTCAGTCTGAGCTGTTTTCTTGTGCACAGTGGCCAAGGATCAGCAAAAGTGGTTCTGTTCGTCCCACCGTGCAGCCTTTTGAGACCTCCCAGAATCCACTGCTTCCAGGAGCTTTACGTAGGAATAGGAACTCTAGGGCATTGGACAGCGCCAGGGCAAACCCCACCCAGGCTTAACACAAATCAGCACATCTACTACACACCCCTCTCAACATGAAACCTCCCAAAGCATCTCTGTTCCTACAGGAAAAAAATTCAGGCCCATCTGAAGACTCTGAGGGAAGAGAGGAAAAAAAGCTCCTGGGATTTAAAGTGACTGCAGAGGGGACAAGTCAGGAGTGTCTGGTAGGTACCTGTTATTGACCCATGGAGATTTGTTTGTAGGCAGATTCCTCGGTGGCCTTGGTGAATGTCGGCTGGTGTGTGTTTCTCCATCATCATAGATTTTCGGTGTTAGATTCACGGGCAGAATCTAAGCTTTCATTTCAGGGAATGAGTTCATTTCTAGCCCTTGTGGCTTTCACTGTATTTGTGTCATTTCTTGCATGGTTGGATCATTTGATTCTGTTTTTCCCCCCTCTGGCATCTCTGTCAGTGTAATGCTGAGTCCAGCGGCTCTGGATCTCCCTTCCCAGAGGCCACTGGTAACACAACATCCTAACCACGTCCGACATGGAAACATCCCTTGTCAGGGCTATTGGGGCTAAAAGGCAAAGGTGGGAGAGGATCCTCTCCCAAGAACCACAGGGTAGAGTTGAGTGTCAAAAATCTCAGGGTTTGCAAAGAAGTTCTCCCTCCTACACACGCTGTAACTCCCTGAAAAAAAAACCCTGGCTGCCGTCATGTTCCCGACCAGCTCTTTTCCTATTGTTTTACAGAAACAGATAGAAAAGGAGGGACAGAAAATGGTCTGAATTTCAGTTCTTGGAGGAATAAGAGTGACCCCTGCTGGAAGAGCTGGACAAGGAGATTGGGGATATTTTTGTTCCGTATCTTCACAAACTCCGTGAGTTGATCAGTGAGATAGAAGGAAGTATCTGCGGGGAGCAGGGGCCGTTATAGCAGGGACATAGGAGAGACGAGAGAGAACATGAGGGGAAATCAAATCAGCATCTTAGTTGTCTGTACACGTATGCAAGAAGTATGGGGAATAAGCAGAACTAGAAATGCTGGTAAATAAACACAACTATGACATAGTTGGCCTCACAGAGACCTGGTGGGATAATACACGTGACTGGAATATTGGCATAGAAGGGTACAGCTTGCTCAGGAAGGACAGGCTGGGAAAAGAGGAAGGAGGTTTTTCCTTATATATCAAAGACGTATACGCTTGGACTGAGGTTGAGATGGAAAGAGGAGACAGACCTGTGAAAGTTTCTGGCTAAAGATAAAAGGGGTAAAAACCAAGGGTGATGTCATGGTACGGGTTTACTATAGACCACCAAACCAGGAAGAAGAGATGGATGAGGCTTTTTTTAAACAACTAACAAAATCATCCAAAGCCCAGGACTTGGTGGTGATGAGGGACTTCAGCTACCCAGACACCTGTTGGGAAAAAACCACAAGAGGGCACAGATTATCCGATAAGTTCTTGGAATGCATTGGCAAAAAAAAAATTATTTCAGAAGGTGGAGACAGCTACCAGGGGCGAGACTGTTCTAGATTTCATTTTGACCAATAGGGAGGAGCTGGTTGAGAATTTGAAAGTGGAAGGCAGCTCGGGCGGAAGTGATCATGAAATGGTGGAGTTCATGGTTCTAAAGAATGGTAGGAGGGAAAAAAGAACAATAAAGACAATGGATTTCAAGAAGGCAGACTTTAGAAAACTCTGCAAGTTGGTAGGGAACATCCTATTGGAAGCAAGTCTAAGGGGAAAAACAATTCAAGAGAGTTGGCAGTTTTTCAAAGAGGCATTATTAAGGGCACAAGAGCAAACGATTGCACTGAGTAGGAAAGATAGGAAGTATGTCAAGAGACCACCGTGGCTTAACCAGGAGATCTGCAAAGGTCAAACTCAAAAAAAAAAAAAGAGTCCTACAAAAAGTGGAAATAGGTCAAATTAGAAAGGATGACTATAAACTTAACACAAGTATGTAGGGACAAAATTAGAAAGGCCAAGGTGCAAAACAAGATTAAACTAGCTAGAGACATAAAGGGTAACAAGAAAACATTCTGCAAATACATTAGAAACAAGAGGAAGACCAAGGACAAGATAGGCCCATTACTCAATGAGAGAGAAAAAACAATAACAGAAAATGTGGAAATGGCAGAAGTGCGACATGACTTTTTTTTTCTCCAGTTTTTACCAAAAAGATTAGTAGCAATTGAATGACTAAAATAGGGAAAGAACAAATTAAAAATGACTTAGACAAGTTAGATGTCTTCAAGTCACCAGGGCCCAATGAAATACATCCTACAATACTCAATGAGCTGACTGAGGAGGTATCTGAACCAAAGTCATGGAAGACGGGAGAGATTCCAGAGGACTGGAAAAGGGCAAATCTAGTGCTGATCTGTAAGGGAACTAAGGACAACCCAGGGAATTGCAGAGCAGTCAGCTTAATGTCTTTATCTGACTCCATTTTGAGGCCTAAGATTCCCCGAGTGGCGAAATACAAGTATCCATAAGGGGGAAAACATGTCTTCTCTCTTCCTGGGCTTCTTAATGCAGGCCTCTCAGTGACCATTGCTCACATTCCCTACCCCGTGTGGCGGGGTGGGTGTTCTCGTCCAGTGCGGGGTGAGTTCACCCTGTCCCTCAAGCCGTCCTTTACCTCGAGGTGCGGAGGTCTAAGGATTAAAATCAACAGGGTAACCCTGGTATGCAGGGGAGTGAGGCCTAGCGGCCAGAGTCAATGGGATTGACTCTGATTCACGGGGAAGCCCGGCCAGAGTCAATGAAGTTGCCCTCAGTCACAGGGCACTAAGGCCTACTGGCGAGAGTCAATGCATCCCCACTTGGGGGAGGGGTGGCGGATAGGCTAGGGGGACTGGGCCCACCCTGCTCCTCCGGGGCCTGGCCCAGGGCCCTAACAGTGACGGGGTTTTCTGCCACTGAGTCAGCGAGGCTCCCACCGAAACACTTCCTACTGGACAATAACTAGCGCCCCCTCCACCCCCCGGGCCACTTCCTACCATATCTCCTGGAGCTGTAGCTGAGGTGTTGTCAGGGTCTCAGGGCTTTTCGGCGTGTGTGTTTCCTGGTGACTTTGATCCCTCTCGGACCTCCACAGGCACTTGGGCATCAGTCTGGGTCTCCGTCTTTCACGGTCAGGAGTTTCAGCTGCCCTTGGGCTGAAGCGAGCAATGAGCATCCTTCCTCCTCTGTGGCCAGCCCGGACTGAGTTGGGCTTTTCCCTTTTATCCTAGTGCTGCATCTGGACTATGCCCAGCCCACAGTGAGGGGTTAACCCTTCCCCGTCGAGTGCGGGGTGAGTTCACCCTGTCACACCAACCTAATAGCTTTCTTTGACAGGGTAACAAGCCTTGTGGATGAAGGGATACGGTAGATGTGGTATATCTTGACTTTAGTAAGGCTTTTGATACTGTCTTGCATGACCTTCTCCTAAACAAACTAGTGAAATACAACCTAGATGGAGCTACTATAAGGTGGGTGCATAACTGATTGGAAAATCATTCCCAGAAAGTAGTTATCAGTGGTTCACAGTCATGCTGGAAGGGCATAATGAGTGGGGTCCCGTAGGGATCAGTTCTGGGTCCGGTTCTGTTCAATATCTTCATCAATGATTTAGATAATGGCATAGAGAGTACACTTATAAACTTTGTGGAGGATACCAAGCTGGGAGGGGTTGCAAGTGCTTTGGAGGATAGAATTAAAATTCAAAATGATCTGGACAAACTGGAGAAATGGTCTGAAGTAAACAGGATGAAATTCAATAAAGACAAATGCAAAGTACTCCACTTAGGAAGGAACAATGAGTTACACACATACAAAATGGGAAATGACTGCCTAGGAAGGAGTACTGCGGAAAGGGATCTGGGGGTCACAGTGGATCACAAGCTAAATATGAGTCAACAGTGTTACACTGTTGCAAAAAATAGCAAATATCATTCTGGGATGTATTAGCAGGAGTGTTGTGAGCAAGACACGAGAAGTAATTCTTCCGCTCTATTCCGTGCTTATTAGGCCTCAATTGGAGTAGTATGTCCAGTTCTGGGCACCACATTTCAGGAAAATTGTGGACAAATTGGAGAGAGTCCAGAGAAAAACATAAAAAATGATGAAAGGTCTAGAAAACATGACCTATGAGGGAAGATTGAAAAAACTGGGTTTGTTTAGTCTGGAGAAGAGAAGACTGAGAAGGGACATGATCACAGTTTTCAAGGACATAAAAGGTTGTTACAAGGAGGAGGGAGAAGAATTGTTCTCCTTAACCTCTGAGAATAGGACAAGAAGCAATGGGCTTAAATTGCAGCAAGGGAGGTTTAGGTTGGACATTAGGAAAAACTTCCTAACTGTCAGGGTGGTTAAGCACTGGCATAAATTGCCTAGGGAGGTTGTGGAATCTCCATCATTGGGGATTTTTAAGAGCAGTATGGCAAACACCTGTCAGGAATGGTCTAGATAATACTTAGTCCTGCCTTGAGTGCAGGGGACTGGCCTAGATGACCTCTCGAGGTCCCTTCCAGTCCTACAATTCTATATTTGCAATATCCCTTCCTTGGAATATAAAATGTGTGTCAGGTAGTGCTGAAATTCTCTCTCTCTGCTCTAGGATGTTAGATCTACCCTGAGCAGATACATGGCTCTCCCTCACACCCCCTCACACTTCACAATGCTGGGGAAGAGCTTGGAGAGGATGTTAGCACCGCATCTCCCTGGGGCTCTACAGCCAAATATGTGGGGGAGGTCACATTATTGATACAAATCCTGAAGTTCTCACCCTTTTATGGAAGACTCTGGAATTATCCATTCAGTGGGAAAGATCGACCGAAAGTATTTCCTGGAGATATTACATCCCTGCGGTCTTTAGTGGGCAGATTTTTACAACACCTAACATGGGAACCTCCTGTCCCTGAGAGCCTGGAGGTGAAGGAGTGAATTGGCCATGGAATGAATTGGCCATGGAGGTCCTGCACCACTACAGGCTGGGGACCGAGTGGCTAGGCAGCAGTTCTGCAGAAAAGGGCCTGGGGGTTACAGTGGATGAGAAGCTGGCTATGAGTCGACAGTGTGCCCTAGTAGGGGCATTGCCAGCAGATCGAGGGAAGTGATTATTCCCCTCTATTCGGCACTGGTGAGGCCACATCTGGAGTAGTGTGTCCAGTTTTGGGCCCCACACTACAAGAAGGATGTGGACAAATTGGAGATAGTCCAGCGGAGGGCAATGAAAATGATTAGGGGGCTGGAGCACATGACTTATGCGGAGAGGCTGAGGGAACTGGGCTTGTTTACTCTGCAGAAGAGAAGAGTGAGGGGGGATTTGATAGCAGCCTTCAACTACCTGAAAGGAGGTTCCAAAGAGGATGGAGCTCGGCTGTTCTCAGTGGTACCAGATGACAGAACAAGGAGTAATGGTCTCAAGTTGCAGTGGGGGAGGTCTAGGTTGGATATTAGGAAACACTGTTTCACTAGGAGGGTGGTGAAGCACTGGAATGGGTTACCTAGGGAGGTGGTGGAATCTCCTTCCTTAGAGGTTTTTAAGGTCAGGCTTGACAAAGCCCTGGCTGGGATGATTTAGTTGGTGTTGGTCCTGCTTTGAGCAGGGGGTTGGACTAGATACCTCCTGAGGTCCCTTCCAACACTAATCATCTATGATATATTCTATGACTCATTTCCCCTTTTATCCCCAGCGCGGGTCTCTCCAGGCCAGAGTTGAAGAATATGAATCGGATCTCTGGGGGAAGGTTGCTCTGCTGTGAAGCTGAGAGGAGGAGAGGAATTCTAACTCCAGGCCCATTACAGCAGCGACTCACTGGCAAGAACTTATAATGAGTCACTAAATGAAATATAACCATGTGAAATTGTTCCTGTACAGGTGTGAGACGGGGAAGTTCCAGCAGCCAGTGGCGATTTCTCCTGAACTGGAAGTGAGACTCAGTGATTTCTCCCAGAAAACTAATGCTCTCATGGAGACTCTGAGGAAATTCAAAGGTACCTAGAAGGGATCTAGAAGGGGAAATTGGGATAAACCTGTGAGACAGTGGGAGGAGAATGGGTCTGGCCAGTTGGTTCATAGTTAGATGATGCATCTATTTAATTGTTGGGTGAGAATGCCACATGCTTGGGGACCAAGTATCAGTGGGTAGCCGTGTTAGTCTGGATCCACAAAAACAACCAGGAGTCCTGTGGCACCTTAAAGACTAACAGATTTATTTGGGCATAAGCTTGGGGACCAAAACACTCAGGTTTATGAATTCAAACCTTTATGTGTACCAAAAGCATGTCTTGCCATTACAATTACTATTAAAATAAGAAATGACAAAGAAGTACTGGCCAGTTACCATCTCCTGGGGCATAGGCGGATTTCTCCTATGACGCTCTGACTACCCCTTACAATGTCCGACATTATACACATCCAAATTATATATGTATTAGTTCTTTTCCAATCACCTTTGAGTGTTACGAATATTAAATATCTTATGTAACTCATATAAAACACATTCACCAACTTTTTAAGGCCAAGGGTTTTGCTGTCCAAGATAGTTTCATGTTGTTGTTCTCTTTTCTGATTGGTTGATTACCATTGATTATGCATAGGTCACTTTGACCCTTTTCTGTACCTGGGGGTTGTTCGACCTTGCTAACTGCTCCTGGGCAGGACATTTTGGGGGTCTGTTGTCTTTCAGCACATTGTGCGGTCGAAACATCTCTTTGTGCCACATAGCAGTTTATAAAAAGCAACAGAGGGTCCTGTGGCACCTTTTCTGTTAGTCTTAAAGGTGCCACAGGACCCTCAGTTGCTTTTTACAGATTCAGACTAACACGGCTACCCCGCTGTTATATAGCACTTTATGAGCACATCACTTAATAACAAGGTCACTTAAAACAACAATTCCTTATGTCAAGCAAACTCCTCACTGGGCCAAAGCCAAGCAAGTCGGCATAATCACACAGTCTCGGTCCGTCCAAACTTGAGCAGAAGAAGTGACCCATATACCAATTCCCAATGCTTAATGTAATAAGTAGTGGAAAGCAGAGAACGATGTAGCCGGGGCCCAGGGACCACGATGTCTCGCATCAATTCATGACTTACCGAAGATCACAACGTTCAGGCCCAAATTGAGCAAAATGGCCTAATTTTGGCCACTGGTGTTTCTTTCCCAACTTGAGAACTGCAGGCACATGCTCAAGAGCTGTTTAGCATCCACAGCTGCAGGTGAAGTCAGTGGGAGCTACAGGTGCCCAACCCCTCTGAGAACCAGACCGCAGGGGCCTAAAGGTTGGCACCCAAAATGAAAGGCCACGTGTTCAATCTGGATCCAGTCCATCGCTCTGATCCAGTCGTGTGTCGCAGGCGGGGTGGAAGAGGAAGCGGGTGGACCACGGTTAGAGGGAGGTGGGCAGCGACAAGCTGGGACTCTGGTACTCTGCACGCTGGCCAAGACACACGGGGGCCACGGTAATAGGGATGTAACTCTGGCTGGCTTCTTCTTAGCCCGTGCCAAGCTCTGCACCAGGCCCTGCAGCCACTGAAGAGCGGAGTCACAAATGGGCTCCCCTCTCTTCTGTAGCCGATACAGGCCCAGTGAGCCAACCTTCCCCCTGCCTCAGTTTCCCCCATGGATAAAATGATTCTATTCTTGTTCATATTTCTGCCTATGGTGGACGAGGGCCCCATTGTGCTGTTCTCTGTAGAGACGCTGAGTAAACAGACCCAACAGCTCACAATTAGAGCCAGGGATTTCGCAAGCTCTGAACATCCTGTTAGTGTCAAAGGGACCTAAGTGGGTAAAGTTCCTGTTATGATAAAAATCTTTGCGTCATCTGGGTCTAGCTTATGACAAAAGGCAGCAAAGGAATGAAACAAACCAGCTGGAGTCTGAAGGGGCGGATGAGGGAAAAGTAACTCTCTCTTGCAGATTGTATGTCCTACGATGGTTGTGAGGCTTCATGGCTTTGATTGCATGGCTGGGAGATGCCTGAATGGTCCCTCAATGGTATTAGCCAGGATGGGCAGGGATGGTGTCCCTAACCTCTGTTTGTTTGCCAGGAGTGGGGAAATGAGCCACAGGGAATGATGAATCACTTGATCATTACCTGTTCTGTTCATTCCCTCTGGGGCACCTGGCATTGGCCACTGTCGGAAGACAGGATACTGGGCTAGATGGACCTTTGGTCTGACCCAGTACGGCCGTTCTTATGAGAGGGAAGAGAAGGTTTCAGATTAATTTATATTAAATACCTAAGTGTGTGTCTGTGTCTGTTTCTCTGTCATGATTAACACATAGCTCTATGAGTTCAGAGTGGGAATGCTGTTATAAATAGGAATGCCTGAAATCGCCTCTTGTTTCTCCTTTCCCCCTCCAGCCACTCTGCCGCCTAAACTGGAGACAAAAAGAGGGGAACCCCTAGGAGCACACAGACAGGGTGAGTTTGCCGGTGGAGATTGTCTTTCAACCATGAGAAAACTTCAGTGAAAACGTCTTCGCGGGAGGGTAGCTGAAGTTACCAACCAAACCAACGCCGACCATCGCACCCAGCCCAGCATAGAAACACAATGAGGGGATCCCCATGCTGAAGTGACACAGGCAGTCCTGACGCCAACCTGAACAGAAACGCTCTTCCCTGCCCAGCACCCGAGCAGAGCTCCATCACCGGCCCTCGCCTTTACCCCCATGGCTCGACTCCGACATCCGGCCTTTCCCCCAGGCAGGGCTGGGCTCTGCTGTTGGAGCTGCTCACGGCTCCATGGATTGGGGGGATGCTGTCCCTCGGGTGCTGCTCCCCTCCCTACTCTCGGGGCTGGGGGCTGCCCCACCCAATGCCCCCACCGGGTCCTCTCTGGTCTTGGGTGGCTTTTCCCCAATGCTGCACTTCCCTCTCGGCCCCCCGGCTAGGGAGTGGAGCTTCCCGCTGGGGTTTAAAGCTGGTACCTGCCCCCTCCTCACTCAAAGCTCCTGACACCTTCCTGCTGGGAAAGCGAGAAACGAGGAACTGCAGTGACCCCTCTGCTCAGCCTCAGGGCAGAGGCAGCTCCCTGGGACCCAGGACGGTCCCGGCCAGAACAGGGCTGCTGGGGACTGTGAGAAATGGTCCCAACCTCCTTCCCCCCCGCCTCCACCTGGGCTGTGCTTTGCCCAGGGGTGCCAAAACGGGGGGGTCCAAGGGGTCATGACCCTCCCCCCTTTGAAAGTGGATGGGCCTGGCTTTTCACCACGGGCCCGGCCATCTCCTCAGCCTGGAAGCTGCAGCCGGGTCATGATATGAGCCGCCCGGGCAGCTGTGGGGAGCCGTGGGCTCTCCACCTGCCTGGAGTGGGGGGGGGCTTGAGAGCAGCCCTCCACGCAGGTCCCCTTCCCAGGGCAGGTGGAGACCCACGGCTCCCCACAGCCGCCCAAGCTTATCATGACCCGGCTGAAGCTTTTTAGCCAGGTCATGTTAGAGGGGCCTGGGCTCCCTGGCTCTGACTTCTGGATTGGCCGGGGGGCAGGGCCTTAGGAGCAAGAGGAGGGGCGGGGCCAAAGATAGGGCAGGGCCACATAGGGGGTGGGGCCTCTTCCTCCCCACCACACTTTTAGGAAGACCCCGTTGCCTCTAGCTCTGTCCCTAATGCTCTGGTTCTCTCTCTTCTCCCCGCAGTGAATGTGACCCTGGATCCAGACACGGCTCACCCCGAACTTGTCCTCTCTGCGGATGGGAAAAGCGTGAGATGGGGACACACCCGGCAGGTTCTGCCCGACAACCCGGAGCGATTTGACTCTGAGCGCTGCGTGCTGGGCGGCGAGGGCTTCGCCTCGGGGCGACATTGCTGGGAGGTGGAGGTGAGGGTGCAGGAGGGGGGACACTGGGCGGTGGGGGTGGCCAGAGAGTCTGTGAGGAGGAAGGGATGGATCAACCTTAACCCTGAGGAGGGGATCTGGGCAGTGGAGCGGGGCTGGTGGGGTCAGTTCCGGGCTCTCACCTCCCCAGCCACCCGCCTGCCCCTGCGCCGGGTCCCCAGCAGGATCCGGGTTTCTCTGGACTGTGAACGGGGGCAGGTGACATTTTCTGACGCGGTTAGCGAGGCCCCAATCTTCACTTTCCCGCCGGGCTCCATCCCCGGCGAGAGAATCCGCCCCTGGCTCTGGGTGTGGAGATCCTGGCTCAGGCTGTGTCCCCCAGGGGACCCCAAAACCGGCCTGCCTAGCCTCCGGTGTCCTAGTCTTTATGACTGTGGTGGACTGCTGTCGTCCTACCGATTTTCTCCCTGTGGGCTCTGCGACCCCGCCGGCTCCCTGGAGTCGCTGGACTTTGAAGCCACGGAGAGCAGGGAGTGACGGAGGGAGAGCACACTGTTCTCTGTGGTCCAGGATGACTCTGACCATGGGCATCTCTATCTAGCTATTATCCCAGTCTCTGTGACCCTGGAGGACTCTCATCTCCCCAGCACCCCTGGCACTTTATCTCTGACGCCTGAAACCTCCTCCCCCCTTCCTCCCTGCAGCACCAGTATTTGGAGGGTTGGGGGCAGGGAGTGTTTTGTACAAATCTGTGTCATTAGCGCTCACGGGGGTCTCCCAGCCAGCACCTCTCCCGCAGGGGCCGAAGTCACCTTCCCCTGTAACTCCCAGACAGCTGGCCACATTGTGAAATTGTCACACACACACACACACACGTGGGATGGGCAGGGGTGCAGATAGACCCCAAACCATTATATAATCTTTTAAAAAAATCATCATTTTCGGTCAGTCTCATGATTTTTTTTTTTTAAACTCCTGAGGTTGGCAGGGTCAGGGCGGGTTTAACCAGAGGGACAAGGAGAAGCGAGACGAAAATGGGAATTAAAATAAAACAAGAATGAAGGGAGAGACTGGGAGAAATGGTGACAAATTAGAAATGAAAAGCGTGAAAGGAAAATATGCCTGGGCAGGGGACCCGGCCAGGGAGCAGAAAGAGGGGAAGGGATCAAATCAGGGGAAAGAATGGAGAAGCCAATGATCTGCGGCAGGGAGGGGAGAACAGTGAGAGAGACCCGGGAAAATAAACAGGGATGGGAAGTGAGGGCTAGAAAAATGCCGAGAAGAAAAGGGAACATGAGTGACACAGATTTATGAAACGTTCCTGCAAGTGAGACTCTCGCGCCATAATTCCCTCTGTTAGTTCCTGCATGTTTGTGCTACTGTGGTGCCATGAAGAAAACTGTTCTCAGTAGCTGGGGAATCTCCTTTCCCATCCGCCTTTTACTCTCCAGCTGTCCAGTTACTTATTGTCAATAAAACATTACAAACAATTCTCCCCGTCTCTTCCCATTTCGTGTCCCAGCTGCACTTGCTGGGGGCAGAGGCCTGGGCTTGGTTGCCTGACTTGGTTGGGTTCTTTGCCCCTCAGAGTTCAAGCAGCGTAGACATAATTTTTTTTTTAACTGGGATTTTCATTTCCTTCCCCCCCCCGGCGTTCAAGCTGATGGGGTGAGCTCTCCTCTTCATGGCTGTGGGGGGAAGAATCAACAAAGTCTTTTGTCCACTGAGGCTTGTCTGGTGTCTATGGGCCACCTTTTGGTGGAGAGATGACCCCTTTTGTGTATGTCACACTTAATGACGCCTCCCTCCTGATGGTTTACAGTGGCAGAGCAAATATTTGTATAGTTACCGAGCAAACATTTAACTATTACCTTATAACGGGGTAGGCAACCTATGGCACGCGTGCGGATTTTCAGTGGCACTCACACTGCCCAGGTCCTGGCCACCGGTCTGGGGGGCTCTGCATTTTAATTTAATTTTAAATGAAGCTTCTTAAACATTTTAAAAACCTTATTTACTTTACATACAACAATAGTTTGGTTCTATATTATAGACTTATAGAAAGAGACCTTCTGAAAACATTAAAATGTATGACTGGCACGCAAAACCTTAAATTAGCGTGAATAAATGAAGACTCGGCACCGCGCTTCTGAAAGGTTGCCGACCCCTGCCTTATAATGTGGGAGACAGATATTACAAGTGAGATTAATGCAGGCAACAACTCAAGCATTTCATAACATTTAAACGCCTTTTTTAGAAATCCAACCCCTCTTTTACAACACGAACACACACGAGAGCCGGACTGGTTGCCAGCAATGATAGTTCAGCGAGGCCTCAGGGTCTGGGCATGAGCTGGTGCTGGGTCTGCCAACATCACCCCGAAAGGATTTGAAGACAGGCTTCTCAGCAGAGTGTGCTAACCACCAGCGGAACGCTCCGATTTTAGTCTGTTTAATTCTTTGGGTGCTGTGGGCTTCAGATCAACTTTATTCTGTACATTTGCTCATTTCTATCGTCTGGATTTTAACTTTGTCACGCCGCGAGTATTCAATCCATACGACTCTGCCTTAAAATGCTAGCCAGTCCCCACAAGCAAATGCCTTGACAGGGCTTGAGAAAAGCCGCCTGTGTAACTTTAAGTGAAAACTGTGCGGGCAAAGGTTGAGGAATGATTCCATAAAATCAAAGAATCAAGTGAGACTTTCCCCTGCAAGAAAAGAAGCAACACAACCTCCTTGTGAAAGAAATCGATTAGCAACCTCCAGCTGCCAGGGAACAGAAGGCAGTTTTCAGTAAAGTAGCCAGCTCACATTATCAACTGCAGTAATATTTTGTCACGTATCAGGGGGTAGCCGTGTTAGTCTGTATCCACAAAAACAACGAGGAGTCCGGTGGCACCTTAAAGACTAACCGATTTATTTGGGCATAAGCTTTCGTGGGTAAAAAACCCCCCACTTCTTCAAATGCATGGAGATGCATTTCACTCCATGCAACTGAAGAAGTCGGGTTTTTTACCCACGAAAGCTTATGCCCAAATAAATCGGTTAGTCTTTAAGGTGCCACCGGACTCCTAGTAATATTTTGGTCACTGTTGTGTGGCTACAGCATTTCTTTCTCCAACCACATCGTTCACACTTTTTCTTTAAATTCACATACACAGTCTGATTGGCTGCACACCTGATGCGCCACACAAGGGCCAGGGGTGCAAATTTGCAGTCATTTGGGGTCAAAGGGTTCTTGAGATACAGACACCCCACACCCACACACGACCTGCTTTTAAAAGGCTGTGAGCTAGGCCTGGACCACCCAGCAAAAACCTGTCCATGGCTGGTTGCCGGAACCTCCCCCCAACACACCCTGGAGACTGCCCTGGGCTGCGAGGCAGAATAACACAAATTAATCTCTTCTGCTTTGGCTGGCCCCTGTTAACACGTCTGTGTATTTCTCAGCAGTTTGTACTGGCTGAGGCTTCACAGCCTGGGGCGGTACCTGTCACCATTACCTACGCTTCGCAGATGAGGTAAGAGAGGGTGCAGAAGGTGAACACAGACAAAGCTGGGCAGATTATTCACAGATTTTAAGGCCAGAAGGGGCCACTCTGCTTCCCCAAACTAATTCCTAGAGCATCAGTTAGAAAAAAAAAAATCCATCCTTCATTTAAAAACATGTCAGAGATGGAGAATCCACCACGCCCCCTTTGGGAAATTGTTCCGATGCTTAATTACTTTCCCCATTAGACATGTACACCGTAATTCCAGGTGTCTCTCTAATACAGCAGAGCCACACCTCAATCGCTTCACCACACGGCCTTTTGAAATGAACCTACCAGATCCACTAGGCAGAATTTCAGGCTTGGTGCATGGCTCAGCACAGAAATAGGGGTGCAGTGGATTCAGGCTTGGAGCGGTTGCCAGATTCCTACTGCATTAGTAACCCAAAGTCACTTAAAAACTAGCCCCAAAGTAACCCTGGTCCTTTTACTGAAACAAAGTTTTTTAACACCACATTTCTCTAACCTGATCTTTCACCACTAGCATAAATGAGCTGATGCTAAGCTACAGGGGTTAAGATGAACAGGCATAAATTTGTCAAGGGGGAAAGTAGTATTGGAGAGCAAGTGTGTGTATGAATTAACAAATGAAGGAGGTGGGGATGAAATTAATGATGGCTCAAAAGTAGCGGAGATACCAAACTGTTAAAAAAAAACTCTTAAAAAAAATCAGTGGAACATAACATAAGAACATAAGAACGGCCATACTGGGTCAGACCAAAGATCCATCTAGCCCAGTATCCTGTCTGCCGACAGTGGCCAATGCCAGGTGACCCAGAGGGAGTGAACCTAACAGGTAATGATCAAGTGATCTCTCTCCTGCCGTCCACCTCCATCCTCTGACAAACAGAGGCTAGGGACACCATTCCTTACTCATCCTGGCTAATAGCCATTAATGGACTTAACCTCCATGAATTTATCCAGTTCTCTTTTAAACCCTGTTATACTCCTAGCCTTCACAACCTCCTCCGGCAAGGAGTTCCACAAGTTGACTGTGTGCTGTGTGAAGAAGAACTTCCTTTTATTTGTTTTAAACCTGCTGCCCATTAATTTCATTTGATGGCCCCTGGTTCTTATATTATGGGAACAAGTAAATAACTTTTCCTTATTCATTTTCTCCACAACACTCATGATTTTATAGACCTCTATCATATCCCCCCTTAGTCTCCTCTTTTCCAAGCTGAAAAGTCCTAGTCTCTTTAATCTCTCCTCATATGGGCCCCGTTCCAAATCCCTAATCATTTTAGTTGCCCTTCTCTGAACCTTTTCTAGTGCCAGTATATCTTTTTTGTGATGAGGCGACCACATCTGTAAAAAACGATGTAATTAAACGATGGATGTTAGCAGCATGGATCTATAATGAACAGATTTTTACAGCCACAGCTGACAAATTGTTCACGTTGTCTTGGGCTTATGTGTGCTGAAGGGTTTATACACATAGATAAATACAAAAGGATTAAGTTGGAAAGAGGTTCCTGGTGTGTTATTTTAAGGCTTGGCCAGAGTACACATCACCTTGGAGACTCTGCCACCCTCAGACATGTTAACGAGTACCTATAACAGGAGATAAGAACGCTGACCAGCTGGAAGAGAAGGCGATACAGCAGACACACAGCTGCAGAATGGCTGCATGAGGGTAGCAGTTGCTTGTACCTGCAGGTAGGAAGGACCAGCAGCTCTTCAAAAGGTATTCTGGTATTGGGAAAAAGGCCCTAGAAAAGTGTGACCCCACTCTGGGGAGATTTGGTCAAATCCAGGCATTCAGAGAGGAAAGAGTGTTTCTATATCATAGACTATGGACTGACCCAAAGCCCATTGTAGGTGTAAACGGGGGAATGGTCCTGGTATTGTGAGGAACGTTCCTGGTTTATACATGACCGCGGTGGAATTGGCTGGCGGAAGGATCTGAATCCTCGCTCCCACTCCCTTTACCCAGAGCCCTGCCCGACTTCGAGGGCTCCCCTTCCACTCTCCTGTGTGGCAGAGT